TTGCTGATGGCATTAATCATTATATATGAAAATTTGACCCATAGTCCAACAATAGGTAATAATAGTCTACTATGTTTGAGCGATTCACATTTTAAAAATTTATCAATTCTGATGAGTAGTTGAATTCAAGCAAAAATATGGCCTCAATTATTTATGTTTTTTTCGAGTATGATCTTTTGCAAGATGCACTTTGTACCTTCAATGTAATCATTTAAATATACTTTGGCATAAGTGTTTTCAAGGATAAACACATGGCTGACATTGCTAGCTTGAGTTCGAATGCATGAAAATGACTACAACAACACAAGTAAATCCTTAAAAGAAATTTCCATGCATTATCTATAAAAAACAATTTACGATTATTCTTTCATTCAGGCAGAATACCAACGAGAGAAGCATATTTTTGATGGACATGTTACGTTTTTAATCAATATTACGTCACAATCAAATTTTTGCCTATAAAAGCAAGTCGAGTTTTTTAACGGTGGCAGTTGGATAAAGATGTCACGGCAATTGGACGTTAACATTCCTTGGAAAACAAGTCCGTGGAAACTTTTAATTGGAAAGAAAATCCGCATTAAGTTGACAACGGTAAGTGAGCTTTAGAACTTAGACTTTTTACAGATAAAAGATTTCATTTTCAAAGGTTATAAATATCCAAGTAAATATTTGCATCTGTTCTTTACTTGATGTAATGAGACTTCCTATCAGCCCTTTTTCAGTAATTCATTGATTCCTTGAACTTCATTAAAGTAAATGATATTCTAGAGAGTTTCTATGTGTCAACAATTTGGAAACGATCAATTGGATACCGACACAAAAACTTTTTTTACAAAAAAGCTATTTGTTGTCAAGAAGTTGAAGATACTTGACAGCAAAAAAAACTAAATATGCAGACCTGAACAAAGGACCAAATATGAAGAATTATCGTCTAGGCTGATACAACCATTCAGATAATAGAAATTTTGTTGATTCTGATGAGCTGACTGATAAAATATGGAAAAAAATCGTCTATTGCATATTGTTGATGAAAGATAAACATTTCATACGAGGATGTGACAAAAAGAACAAAAAAGAAAAATTATGGTCTAGGCTGAAATGGAGATGAAGATAATGGAGATTTTAATAATTCTAATGAGCGGACCGACAAAATATGGAAAATATCTTCTATTGCATATTGCTGATGAAAAAAAAATTATATATGAGGATTTCAACAAAGACCAAAAAAGAGGAATTATGATCTAGACTGACACTACCATGCAGATAAAAGAAATTTTATGGTTTCTGATAAGCAGACTGAAGAAGAATGGAAGAAATCTTCTATTGCATATTCCTGATAAAAAAAATAAATTTTTTATATGAGGATGTTACCCAAAGACCAAAAATGAAGAATTATGGTCTAGGCTGAAAGAACGATGCAGAAAATGGAGATTTTATGAATTTTGATGAACGGACTGACAAAATATGAAAAAATCGTCTATTGCATGTTGCTGATGAAAAATAAACATTTTATATGAGGATTTGACCAAAATAGCAAAGAAATGATTTATGGTCTAGGCTGATAAAACCTTGCAAACAATGGAAATTTTTATGGATTCAGATAAACGGACTGAAAAAGAATGGAAACAGTCCTCTATTGCATATTGCTAATGAAAAATGAACATTATACATGTGAATGTAACCCAAAGACGAAAAATGAAGAATTATGGTCTAAGATGATAGAAAAATGCAGATAATGGAGATTTTATGAATTCTAATGCGTGGATTGACAAAATATATAAAATTCGTCTTTTGCATATTGCCAAAAAAAAACATTTTTATGAGGATGTGATCAAAAGACCAAAAATGAAGAATGATGGTCTAACTTTATACAACCATGCAGATAATGGAGATTTTAATAATTCTAATGAGCGGACCGACAAAAAATGGAAAAAGTCATCTATTGCATATTGCTAATGAAAAATAAACATTATACATGTGGATGTAACACAAAGACGAAAAATGAAGAATTATGTTCTAAGCTGATACAACCATGCAGATAATGCAGATTTTATGAAATTTGGTGAGCAGACTGACAAAAAATGAAAAAATAGTCTATTTTATATTGCTGATGAAACATAAACATTTTATATGAGGATGTGACCAAAATACCAAAGAATAAATTATGGTCTAGGCTGATAAAACCTTGCAAACAATGGAGATCTTAATGGATTCAGATATACGGACTGAAAAAGAATGGAAAAAGTCGTCTATTGCATATTGCTGATGGAAAATAAACATTATACATGTGGACGTGACCCAAAGACCAAAAAAGAAGAATTATGGTCTGAGATGATACAACCATGCAGATGAGCGGACTGGCAAAATATGGAAAAATCGTTTCTTGCATATTGCTGATGAAAAATAAGTATTATGTATGAGGATTTGACCCAAAGACCAAACTATGCAGATAATGGACATTTTATGGACTCTGATAAGCGGACTGATAAAGAATGGGAAAATCGTCTATTGCATATTCCTGTGGAAAAATAAACATTATATATGAGGATGTGATCAAAAGACCAAAAATGAAGATTTATGGCCTAGGCTGATACAACCATGCAAATAATGGAACTTTTTGGATTCTGATGACCAGTCTGAAAAAATATGGAAAAAATCTTCTTGTGTATATTGCTGATGAAAAAAAAACATTATATATGAGTATGTCAAAAAAGATCAAAAAAGAGGAATTATGATCTAGACTGATACAACCATGCAGATAAAGGAATTTTTATGGTTTCTGATAAGCGGACTGATAAAGAATGGAAAAAATCGAAAAATAAACATTATATATGAGGATGTGATCAAAAGACAAGAAATGAAAATTTATGGTCTAAGCTGATACAGCCATGCAGATAATGGAGATTTTATAAATTTATATGAGCGGACTGGCAAAATATGGAAAAATCGTCTATTGCATATTGCTGATGAAAAATAAACATTTTATATGAAGATGTGAGCCAAAGACCAAAAATGAAGAATTATGGTCTAAGCTGATACAGCCATATAGATGATGGATATTTTACGAATTCTAATAAGCGAGCTGACAAAATATGGAAAATCGTCTATTGCACATTGCTGAAAAAAAAAACATTATAGATGAGGATGTGACCAAAAGACCAAAAAAGGAGAGTCATGTTCTAGGCTGATACAACCATGCAGATAATGGAAATTTTATGTATTCGGATGAGCCGACTAATAAATTATGGAAAAATTCGTCTATGGCATATTGCTGATGAAAAAAAAAGATTAGGTATGAGGATGTGACCAAAAGACCAAAAATGAAGAATTATGGTTTAAACTGATACAAACATGCAGATAATGGAGATTTTATGAATTCTGATGAGCGGACTGATAAATTATGGAAAACATTGTCTATTGCATATGGCTGATGAAAAATAAACATTATATATGAGGATATGACCCGAAGACCAAAAATGAAGAATTATGGTCTAAGCTGATAGAACCAGGCAGATAATGAAGATTTTTTTAATACTGATGAGCGGGCTGACAAAATATGGAAAAATCGCCTGTTGCATGTTGCTGATGAAAAATGAACATTACATATGAGGATGTGACCCAAAGAACAAAAATGAAGAGTTGTGCTATAAGCTGATACAACAATGCAGATAAAGGAGATTTTATGAATTCTCATGAAAGGACTAACAAAATATGAAAAAATCGTCTATTGCATATTGCTGATGAAAAAAAAACATTATATATGTGGATTTGACCAAAAATGAAGAATGATGGTCTAACCTGATACAATCATGCAGATAATGGAGATTTTAATAATTCTAATGAGCGGACCGACAAAATATGGAAAAATCGTCTATTTCATATTGCTGATGAAAATCAAACATTATACATGAAGATATGACCGAAAAAAGAAAAATGAAAAATTATGGTCTAGGTTGATACAACCATGCAGAAAATGGAGATTTTATTAATTTTGATGAGCGGGCTGACAAAATTTGAAAAAATCGTCTATTTCATATTGCTGATAAAAATAAACATTATACATGAAGATATGACCGAACGACCAAAAATGAAAAATTATGGTCTAGGCTGATACAACCATGCAGAAAATGATAATTTTATTAATTTTGATGAGCGGGCTGACAAAATATGGAAAAATTGTCTATTGCATATTGCTAATGAAAAATAAAAATTTTATATGAGGATGTTACCCAAAGACCAAAGTAGAAAATTTTTAGTGTAGTCTGATACAACCATATAGATAATGGAGATTTTATGAATTCTGATGAGCGGACTGACAAAATATGGAAAAATTGTCTATTGCATATTGCTGATGAAAAAGAAACATTTGATATGTGGATGTTACCGAACGACCAAAAATGAAGAATTATCGTCTAGGCTGATACAACCATGCAGATAATGGAGATTTTAGGACTTCTAATGAGCTGACTAATAAAATATGGAGAAAATATTCATTTGCATATTGCTGATGAAAAATAAACATTATACATGTGGATGTATTCCAAAGACAAAAAATGAAGAATTATGGTCTCAGATGATACAACCATGCAGATAATGAACATTTTATGGAGTCTGATTAGCAGACTGATAAAGAATGGAAAAAATCGTCTATTGCATATTCCTGAGGAAAAATAAATATTATATATGGGGATGTGATCAAAAGACCAAAAATGAAGAATTACGGTCTAAGCTGATACAGCCATGCAGATGATGGAGATTTTAAGCATTTGGATGAGCGGACGGACAAAATCTGGAAAATTCGTCTATTGCATATTGCTGATGAAAAATATACATTATATATGAGGATATGACCCGAAGACCAAAAATGAAGAATTATGGTCTAAGCTGATAGAAGCATGCAGATAATGAAGATTTTTTGAATACTGATGAGCGGGCTGACAAAATATGGAAAAATCGCCTGTTGCATGTTGCTGATGAAAAATGAACATTACATATGAGGATGTGACCCAAAGAACAAAAATGACAAATTCTGGTCTAGGCTGATACAACCATGCAGATAATGAAAATATTATGGATTCAGATGAGCTTATTGATAAAATATGGATACATTAGTCTATTGCATATTGCTGATGAAAAAATACATTGTATATGAGGATGTGACAAAAAGTCCAATAAAAAGAATTATGGTCTGGGCTGGTGCAATATTGCAGATAATGGACATTTTATGTATTCTGATGAGCTGACTGATAAAATTTGAGAATATCGTCTATTGCATATTGCTGATGAAAAAAAACATTATACATGAGGATGTGATCTAAAGACAAAAACCAAAAAATTTATGGTCTAAGCTGATACAACCATGCGATAATGGAGATTTTATTAATTTCAATGAGCGGATTGACAAAATATGGAAATTCTGTCTATTGCATATTGTTAATGAAAAAGAAAAATTTTATATGAGGATGTTACCCAAAGACCAAAAGAGAAAAAGTTTAGTGTAGTCTGATACATCCATATAGATAATGGAGATTTTAAGGATTTGGATGAGCGGACTTATGAAATATAGAAAAATGGAGTTTTGCTGATGGCAATAATCATTATGTACGAGGATTTGACCCATAGGCCAAAAATAGGTTATAATGGTGTACTATGGTTGAACGATTCATATTTCAAAAATTTATTGAATCTGATGAGTAGTTTAATTCAAGCATAAATATGACGTCTATTATTTATGTTTCTTTCGAATATGATCTTTTGCAAGATAAACTTTGTTCCTTCAATGTAATCATATAAATAAACTTTTGCATATGTGTTTTCAAAGATAAACACATAGCTGACATTGATAAACACATAGCTGACAGTTAGAATGCATGAAATTGACTACAACAATACGAGTAAATCTTTAGAAGAAATTTTCATGCATTCTCTATCTATAACAGACAATTTACGATTATTCTTTCATTTAGGCAGAATACCAACGCAAGAAGCATATTTTTGATGGACATGTTACGTTTTCAATCAATATTACGTCACAATCAAATTTGTGCCTATAAAAGCAAGTCGAGTTTTTTAACGGTGGCAGTTGGATAAAGATGTCACGGCGATTGGACGTTAACATTCCTTGGAAAACAAGTCCGTGGAAACTTTTAATTGGAAAGAAAATCCGCATTAAGTTGACAACGGTAAGTGAGCTTTAGAACTTAGACTTTTTACAGATAAAAGATTTCATTTTCAAAGGTTATAAATATCCAAGTAAATATTTGCATCTGTTCTTTACTTGATGTAATGAGACTTCCTATCAGCCCTTTTTCAGTAATTCATTGATTCCTTGAACTTCATTAAAGTAAATGATATTCTAGAGAGTTTCTATGTGTCAACAATTTGGAAACGATCAATTGGATACCGACACAAAAACTTTTTTTACAAAAAAGCTATTTGTTGTCAAGAAGTTGAAGATACTTGACAGCAAAAAAAACTAAATATGCAGACCTGAACAAAGGACCAAATATGAAGAATTATCGTCTAGGCTGATACAATCATTCAGATAATAGAAATTTTGTTGATTCTGATGAGCTGACTGATAAAATATGGAAAAAAATCGTCTATTGCATATTGTTGATGAAAGATAAACATTTCATATGAGGATGTGACAAAAAGAACAGAAAAGAAAAATTATGGTCTAGGCTGAAATGGAGATGAAGATAATGGAGATTTTAATAATTCTAATGAGCTGACCGACAAAATATGGAAAATATCTTCTATTGCATATTGCTGATGAAAAAAAAATTATATATGAGGATGTCAACAAAGACCAAAAAAGAGGAATTATGATCTAGACTGACACTACCATGCAGATAAAAGAAATTTTATGGTTTCTGATAAGCAGACTGAAGAAGAATGGAAGAAATCTTCTATTGCATATTCCTGATAAAAAAAATAAATTTTTTATATGAGGATGTTACCCAAAGACCAAAAATGAAGAATTATGGTCTAGGCTGAAAGAACGATGCAGAAAATGGAGATTTTATGAATTTCGATGAGCGGACTGGCAAAATATGGAAAAATCGTCCATTGCATATTGCTGATGAAAAATAAACATTATACATGTGGATGTAACCCAAAGACGAAAAATGAAGAATGATGGTCTAACCTGATACAACCATGCAGATAATGGAGATTTTAATAATTCTTATGAGCGGACTGGCAAAATATGGAAAAATCGTCCATTTCATATTGCTGATGAAAAAAAAACATTATACATGTGGATGTAACCCAAAGACGAAAAATGAAGAATTATCGTCTAACCTGATACAACCATGCAGATAATGGAGATTTTAATAATTCTAATGAGCGGACCGACAAAATATGGAAAAATCGTCTATTGTATATTGCTGATGAAAAAGAAACATGATATATTTGGATGTGACCCAAAGAACAAAAATGAAAAATTATGGTCTAAGCTGATACAGCCATGCAGATAATAGAGATTTTATTAATTTTTATGAGCGGATTGACAAAATATGGAAAAATTGTCTATTGCATATTGCTAATGAAAAATAAAAATTTTATATGAGGATGTTACCCAAAGACCAAAAGAGAAAAATTTTAGTGTAGTCTGATACAACCATATAGATAATGGAGATTTTAAGGATTTGGATGAACGGACTGATTAAATATGGAAAAATTGAGTTTAGCTGATGGCAATAATCATTATGTACGAGGATTTGACCAATAGGCCAAAAATAGGTAATAATGGTGTACTATGGTTGAACGATTCATATTTCAAAAATTTATTGAATCTGATGAGTAGTTTAATACAAGCATAAATATGACGTCTATTATTTATGTTTCTTTCGAATATGATCTTTTGCAAGATGCACTTTGTTTCTTCAATGTAATCATATAAAAAACTTTTGCATAAGTGTTTTCAAAGATAAACACATAGCTGACATTGCTAGCTTCAGTTAGAATACATGAAATTGACTACAACAATACAAGTAAATCCTTAGAAGAAATGTTCATGCATTATCTATCTATAACAGACAATTTACGATTATTCTTTCATTTAGGCAGAATACCAACGCAAGAAGCATATTTTTGATGGACATGTTACGTTTTCAATCAATATTACGTCACAATCAAATTTGTGCCTATAAAAGCAAGTCGAGTTTTTTAACGGTGGCAGTTGGATAAAGATGTCACGGCGATTGGACGTTAACATTCCTTGGAAAACAAGTCCGTGGAAACTTTTAATTGGAAAGAAAATCCGCATTAAGTTGACAACGGTAAGTGAGCTTTAGAACTTAGACTTTTTACAGATAAAAGATTTCATTTTCAAAGGTTATAAATATCCAAGTAAATATTTGCATCTGTTCTTTACTTGATGTAATGAGACTTCCTATCAGCCCTTTTTTCAGTAATTCATTGATTCCTTGAACTTCATTAAAGTAAATGATATTCTAGAGATTTTCTCTGTGTCAACAATTTGGAAACGATCAATTGGAAACCGAAAAAAAGCTTCTTTTACAAAAAAACTATTTATTTTTAAGAAGTTGAAGATACTTGATAGCAAAAAAAAGTAAATATGCAGACCTGAACAAAGGACCAAATATGAAAAATTATCGTCTAGGCTGATAAAACCATGAAGAGGACGGAAATTTCATGAAATCTGATGAGCTGACTAATAAAATATGGAAAAATTGTCTATTGCATATTGCTAATGAAAAATAAACATTATACATGAAGATGTGACCAAAAGACCAAAAATGAAGAATTATCGTCTAGGCTGATACAACCATGCAGATAATGGAAATTTTATGAATTCTGATGAGCGGACTGGCAAAATATGGAAAAATCGTCCATTGCATATTGCTGATGAAAAATAAACATTATACATGTGGATGTAACCCAAAGACGACAAATGAAAAATTATCGTCTAACCAGATACAACCATGCAGATAATGGAGATTTTAATAATTCTAATGAGCGGACTGGCAAAATATGAAAAAAAAGTCTATTTCATATTGCTGATGTAACATAAACATTTTATATGAGGATGCAACCCAAATACGAAAAATGAAGAATTATGGTCTAGGCTGCTACAACTATGCCGATCATGAACATTTTATGGAGTGTGATGAGCAGACTGATAAAGAATGAAAAAAATCGTCTATTGCATATTCCTGACGAAAAATAAACATTATATATGGGGATGTGATCAAAAGACCAAAAATGAAGATTTATGGCCTAGGCTGATACAACTATGCAGATAATGGACATTTTATGGAGTCTGACGAGCAGACTGATAAAGAATGGAAAAATCGTCTATTGCATATTCCTGTGGAAAAATAAACATTATATGTGAGGATGTGATCAAAAGACCAAAAATGAAGAACTATGGTCTAAGCTGATACAGCCATGTAGATGTTGAAGATTTTAAGAATTCTAATGAGCGAAATGACAAAATATGGAAAATTGTCTATTGCATATTGCTGAAAAGAAAACATTATATATGAGGATGTGACCAAAAGAACAAAAATTGAGAAATATGGTATAGGCTGATACAACCATGCAGATAATGGAACTTTTTTGGATTCTGATGAGCGGACTGATAGGATATAAAAAGATCGTCTATTGCATATTGCTGATGAAAAATAAACATTATGTATGAAGATTTGACCCAAAGACCAAAAAAGAAGAATTATGGTCTAGGCTGATACAACCATGCAGAAAATTGAGATTTTATTAATTTTGATGAGCGGGCTGACAAAATATGGGAAAATCGTCTATTGCATATTTCTTATGAAAAATAAACAATATATTTGTGGATGTGACCCAAAGAACAAAAATAAAGATTTACGGTCTGCGCTGATACAACCATGCAGAAAATGGATATTTTATGAATTCTGATGAGTTGGCTGAAAAAAAAATGGAAAAATCGTCTATTGCATATTGCTGATGAAAAAGAAACATTTTATAAGAGGATGTTACCCAAAGACCAAAAATGAAGAATTATGGTCTAGGCTGATACAACCATGCAGAAAATAGATATTTTATGAATTCTTATGAGCTGGCTGAAAAAAAATGGAAAAATCGTCTATTGCTTATTGCTGATGAAAAAGAAACATTATTTATGTGGATTTGACCCAAAGACCAAAAATGAAGAATTATGGTCTAGGCTGATAGAACCATGCAGAAAAAGGAGATTTTATTAATTTTGATGAGCGGGCCGACAAAATATGGAAAAATCGTCGATTGCATATTGCTGATGAAAAAGAAACATTTTATATGAGGATGTTACCCAAACACCAAAAATGAAGAATTATGGTCTAGGCTGATACAACCATGCAGAAAATAGATATTTTATGAATTCTTATGAGCTGGCTGAAAAAAAATGGAAAAATCGTCTATTGCTTATTGCTGATGAAAAAGAAACATTATTTAGGTGGATTTGACCCTAAGACCAAAAATCAAGAATGATGGTCTAGGCTGATACAACCATGCAGAAAATGGATATTTTATGAATTCTGATGAGCTGGCTGATAAAATATGGAAAAATCGTCTATTGCTTGTTGCTGAGGAAAGAAAAACATTGTATATGTGGATTTGACCCTAAGACCAAAAATGAAGAATTATGGTCTAGGCTGATAGAGCCATGCAGAAAATGGAGATTTTATTAATTTTGATGAGCTGGCTGACAGAAAATGGAAAAATCGTCTATTGCTTATTGCTGATGAAAAAGAAACATTATTTAGGTGGATTTGACCCTAAGACCAAAAATCAAGAATGATGGTCTAGGCCGATAGAACCATGCAGAAAATGGAGATTTTGTGGAGTATAATGAGCCGACTGATAAAATATGGAAAAATCGCCTATTGCATATTGCTGATGAAAAATAAACATTATATATGAGAATATCAAAAAAGACCAAAAAAGAAGAATTATGGTCTAGGCTGATACAACCATGCAGGAAATGGATATTTTATGATTTCTTATGATCTGGCTGATAAAATATGGAAAAATCGACTATTGCTTATTGCTAAAGAAAAAGAAACATTATATATGTGGATTTGACCCAAAGACCAGAAATGAAGAATAATGGTCTAGGCTGATACAACCATGCAGAAAATGGATATTTTATGAATTCTGATGAGCTGGCTGATAAAATATGGAAAAATCGTCTATTGCTTATTGCTGATGAAAAAGAAACATTTTATATGAGGATGTTACCAAAAGACCAAAAATGAAGAATTATGGTCTAAGCTGATAGAACCATGCAGAAAATAGAAGTTTCTTTGAATTCTGATGAGCTGGCTGATAAAATATGGAAAAATCGCCTATTGCTTAATGCTGATAAAAAGAAACATTATATATGTGGATTTGACCCTAAGACAAAAAATGAAGAATTTTGGTTTAGGCTGATAGAACCATGCAGAAAATGGAGATTTTATTAGTTTTGATGAACGGGCGGACAAAATATGGAAAAATCGTCTATTGCATATTGCTGACAAAAAAGAAACATTTTATATGAGGAAGTTACCAAAAGACCAAAAATGAAAAATTATGATCTAGCTGATAAAAGCATACAGATAATGGAAATTTTATGAATTCTGATGAGCGGACTGACAAAATATGGAAAAATCGTCTATTGCTTATTGCTGATGAAGAAGAAACATTATATATGTGGATTTGACCCAAAGACCAAAAATGAAGAATTATGGTCTAACGTGATACAACCATGCAGAAAATGGATATTTTATGAATTCTGATGAGCTGGCTGATGAAATATAGAAAAATGGTCTATTGCTTATTGCTGATGAAAAAGAAACATTATATATGTGGATTTGACCCTCAGATAAAAAATGAAGAATTATGGTCTAGGCTGATAGAGCCATGCAGAAAATGGAGATTTTATTAATTTTGATGAGCGGGCTGATAAAATATGGAAAAATCGCCTATTGCATATTGCTGATGAAAAAGAAACATTTTATATGAGGATGTTACCCAAAGACCAAAAAAGAAGAATTATGGTCTAGGCTGATACAACCATGCAGAAAATTGAGATTTTATTAATTTTGATGAGCGGGCTGACAAAATATGGAAAAATCGTCTATTGCATATTTCTGATGAAAAATAAACACTTTATATCAGGTTGTGACAAAAAGACCAAAAAAGAAGAATTATGGTCTAGGCTGATACAAACATGGAGATAATGGAGATTTTATGAATTCCGATAAGCGGACTGACAAAATATGGAAAATTGTCTATTGCATATTGCTGAAAAGAAAACATTATATATGAGGATGTGACCAAAAGAACAAAAATTGAGAAATATGGTATAGGCTGATACAACCATGCAGATAATGGAACTTTTTTGGATTCTGATGAGCGGACTGATAGGATATAAAAAGATCGTCTATTGCATATTGCTGATGAAAAATAAACATTATGTATGAAGATTTGACCCAAAGACCAAAAAAGAAGAATTATGGTCTAGGCTGATACAACCATGCAGAAAATTGAGATTTTATTAATTTTGATGAGCGGGCTGACAAAATATGGGAAAATCGTCTATTGCATATTTCTTATGAAAAATAAACAATATATTTGTGGATGTGACCCAAAGAACAAAAATAAAGATTTACGGTCTGCGCTGATACAACCATGCAGAAAATGGATATTTTATGAATTCTGATGAGTTGGCTGAAAAAAAAATGGAAAAATCGTCTATTGCATATTGCTGATGAAAAAGAAACATTTTATAAGAGGATGTTACCCAAAGACCAAAAATGAAGAATTATGGTCTAGGCTGATACAACCATGCAGAAAATAGATATTTTATGAATTCTTATGAGCTGGCTGAAAAAAAATGGAAAAATCGTCTATTGCTTATTGCTGATGAAAAAGAAACATTATTTATGTGGATTTGACCCAAAGACCAAAAATGAAGAATTATGGTCTAGGCTGATAGAACCATGCAGAAAAAGGAGATTTTATTAATTTTGATGAGCGGGCCGACAAAATATGGAAAAATCGTCGATTGCATATTGCTGATGAAAAAGGAACATTTTATATGAGGATGTTACCCAAACACCAAAAATGAAGAATTATGGTCTAGGCTGATACAACCATGCAGAAAATAGATATTTTATGAATTCTTATGAGCTGGCTGAAAAAAAATGGAAAAATCGTCTATTGCTTATTGCTGATGAAAAAGAAACATTATTTAGGTGGATTTGACCCTAAGACCAAAAATCAAGAATGATGGTCTAGGCTGATACAACCATGCAGAAAATGGATATTTTATGAATTCTGATGAGCTGGCTGATAAAATATGGAAAAATCGTCTATTGCTTGTTGCTGAGGAAAGAAAAACATTGTATATGTGGATTTGACCCTAAGACCAAAAATGAAGAATTATGGTCTAGGCTGATAGAGCCATGCAGAAAATGGAGATTTTATTAATTTTGATGAGCTGGCTGACAGAAAATGGAAAAATCGTCTATTGCTTATTGCTGATGAAAAAGAAACATTATTTAGGTGGATTTGACCCTAAGACCAAAAATCAAGAATGATGGTCTAGGCTGATAGAACCATGCAGAAAAAGGAGATTTTATTA